GAGCTAGCAGTTCCTGCTCGCTTGTCTTCATGCGCTAAGATTTAGATGCAAAGTTACTATCCCGCTTACTACACAGTCAGATTCTTAGGATAAGAATTATTCACAGCTGCTCTTCCATAGGCAAGATCCAGAGCAGCAGCAGACCAGCTTCTACCCTGTGACCATCTCTACAATGAGATGGCTAAGCTCCTGCTCCTCAGATAAAAGACCCCAACTTGACCTTATCTCATTATCTGCTCTTGGCTTTATCAAGCAGTTTATGAAAAAGTCATCAGGATTTAGACTTACAAATTAGATCAACAGGGATGTTGCAAAATTAAGTACCTTCCATGATCCTGGCACAGATTTCAGCTCCTACTCCAAACTGCGGCCAACCTCCTTCTACAGTTACAAGATGGTTTGTCTTTACAACGCTGGCTTCTATTGCTTCAATATCCATTGGTCGAATGCTACGCAGATTTATAACCTTAAAAGAAAGGGACTGAATCAGTTTTGCTATGATCTAAGCCTGTCAGTTACTACTGTTGGGTACCACGTCCTTTGTCACGTTCAGCTATTCTGACTTTGAGGATCAGACTTAAAAGTCAACAAAATTACAAACTTTTTATCCCAGCAGACTTTTTATGGAACTGTTTGTGATGGTTCCTGGAAAATCCCAGATAGATGAGTCTTGCTATATCTAGATCCAGCCATGCTGATTTATATAGTGTACTGTTCAGTGGACCTAGCTGTATGATAATAAGCAGAAGAGCTTTAAACATTAATTTTGTGATTAAAAGGTCAAATGCAGAAACACGAAACATGCTTGGTTCACTGATTATGAAGGCATTTACCAATGGGCCTGAACAAGACACGCTGCTTTTTTTCCAGTCCATGGAAAGGGGAAAGCAACAAAAAAATCCCTACACACCTCGCACTCTACACCTTCTTTGGCGAGTACAGCAGCGGCTTCCAAACAGTGTCCAACAGGTCTCGAGTGTGACACTAAAGTAACGTGAGTTCCTAGAACAGAAACGAGAGAGAGAGACTTAAACTTTTCCTCTAGCCCCCGTGCTCTTTTTAAGGTAATGTTAGGATTCTCTGGTAAATTTAAGTATTTAGCACTTAAAATAAATATAAGGAATTCTACAGCCACAGCGTGAAAAATGGCAGTGGAAGGACTATGTCAAGACACAAACTACACCCTTGAATTCAGGGACCTGAAGAGAGATCGAATATACTTCTTAGATTATTCCTTTTAAACCTTCAAGTAATTCAGTGTTAAATTATGAACAAGCTGAAAACCTACAGTGCTTTCCCTTGCATTTTTAGAAAAAAAACCCCAACAACTACTTTCTCAAGTGGAGAAAGAAGTTTTCCAGGCATTACCTAATCCATCCTTATAGAGAAAGGAAGTCTTTTGAAAGCAGGACAGCGGGACAAAGAATATCAAGTGATCTTACTTTATAAAGAGAACAGAAAAATACAGAGCCCATAGGATAAAATAACATTTAGCATTTGAAGTGTATTCCTGTTCCCTGTGAAAGTAGTGTTTTAAGTCGGTAAAAGTTTAAAAAAAAAAAAAAATCTCCCCAAGCAGTTCAGTTAGTAAGAATATATTAACTGTGTTCTCAGCTTACCTTGCCTTTCTATTTTGGCTTTTCCAATTGGAACAACAAAATCCTTTGACTGTGCCTCTTCTGACAATTCAAAGGGAACACCATACAGCAGTTCATTCTCCAGCATCACAACTAGAACAAAACTTACTTGGATTATTTTGTAGTTCTACAGCACAGGCCTATACTGAGGATAATAGCACTAGAGCAGACTACCTCAACTAGGAGCTGAATATGTTTGTAGGGGGAGAAAAAAATCCCAGTTTTGACTTCACTACTGAATTATTTTAAATTTTAAATTAATTGATTAGAATTGGTCTTAAGCAGGACTGAGCATTTAGCTTGTGGTGCATAATGGTAATAGGTCTTAATACAAAATTTAAGGTCCTTAGAATTATTCTAAAAAAATCATGAGGATTGTGAATTAGGCAAACTAGGTTGATAAAGCTAACTGACGTACAAAGCCTCTGTTTTTTAAAAAAGATAATATTGTAAAGTTTATAGAACTGAATGTACAACTCCAACTAGATCAAATGAAAATGGGAGGGGTCATGGTTTAGAGACTGTTTTTGCAGAATTGCTAGTTTTAGAAAGGTCTTAGATTTTGCATGCATGCTTACGAGGAAGGAAAACTGAGGCTGCCCTGCTCTCAGAAAATGGCATGATATTCATAACATCTGAATTTCAAGATCTGTAAAAATGAGTTACGTACTCAGACACTATATATGCAGAACTCCTCCCTGACTGATTTTTATCCTCTTAAATTCCTTTATGACAGATTCCTAAATGTTTCTTCCCAGATTGGTACCGAATTAGGATTAAAGCACTAGCACAAAATTACAGTCTACTACTAGCAAGCCACATGATTCAGGAAAGTGTCAAGTATCAGAATCGATTCCTCTGTGCCTTTGCAAGTTACCTTAGAGTAAAGCAGTCCTAAGTGTTTTAGGGTTTTAAACTTTTTTTCTTTTTTTTTAAATGGGATGTGAGGGGAAACATGAAGAGACATTTTTTAAAAAAACTAATGCTAGCTGTTGCCATGATCTGAGTGTATTCACCTGGATTATCATCCCGGATTGATGCTTTAAGCAGACCTTTCGCATCTTCTGAGCTCCATGGACTAACAACTTTCAGTCCTGGACAGTGCCCATACCAAGCAGCAAAGCACTGCGAGTGCTGAGCAGCGACCCCAGCTGATGCCCCGTTGGGGCCCCTGAAGACGATGGGCACAGAGATCGATCCTGCAGACATGTAACAGGTCTTGGCAGCAGAGTTTATGACCTGATCAATTGCTTGCATGGAGAAGTTGAAAGTCATGAATTCACACACTGGCCTCAACCCAGCCTATTAAAGTCAGGATATATATTAGTGCCTTTTTACATAAAAAGAGCTTGTTTTAAAGAGTTTAATTCAGGAGTAAAGAAACTTAAATGTACAAACCATAGCAGCACCAACGGCAATTCCTGTGAAGCCCATCTTAAACAGAAAGAAACCAAGGGTAAGCCTTTGGGAGCAGCAGGCAGAAGGGCGAGCAGGGTAAGTGACAGGCGAAGCCGTACCTCCGATATCGGCGTGTCGATTATCCTCTTGTCCCCATACTTCTTCCAGAGGCCTCGGGAGATCTGCAGAGAGAGAGGAGAGAAGTCAGGGCCCGCAGGAGGGCCTCTCCCCGCCTCTTAGCTGCGGCCGCTCACCTTGTAAGCGCCATCGTACTGCGCCACCTCCTCGCCGAGCAGGAACACCCGCTCGTCCCGCTCCAGCTCCTCGTCCAGCGCCTGGTTCAGCGCGTCTCGCACCGTCACCTGCGGCACACGCACCCTAGCACAGCGGGGGCACCGCCCGCACCCCGGGGGGGGGGTCACCCCTTCCTCCCCCTCCTCCTCCTCCTCCTCCCCCCCCCCCCCCCCCCCCCACGGTTTTGTTTCCCTGTGCAATTCAGTGTCTCTCAACCCTTTCAGATAGTGCATCACTACGGCTTTATTCCTGTGATCCCTTCTGCGCAGTATTTAACAATATAATAAGATGAGGACAAAGAGGCTGAATATTGTTCTCTCCCTTCCTTGTCCAGAGTCTGTTTCTTATCTACTTATGTATCTGTGAATAGCCTGTGCAAGCATTGAGAATAGAGCTGCAAAGGCAGCTTACTACTTATTGTGTATATACTTTCCTTATTTTTCTCTGGTTAGTGGAAGATATACGTGCTATGTGCCGTTTGGTGCACTTTCTAGTTTTAAAAATAGTGAGAAAGGGCCATTTTACTGGCCGGTTGCTTATTTGGAGGGCTTTAAGAGACATCTTTTTATAATATATTCTGTTGATTAAATTCTCTTGATAATTCTTTTCGTGATATATTATTTCCCTCTTGTCCTTTTCAGAGAGGCGTTTGCAAAAAATGACTTTGGAAACTTGTCCTTTTCCCTATAACCTACTCCTAACCGAACGATAAATAAGGTTTACGAAGGGCTATGAAATCCTTCTTGTTCTGAAGTTCCTGATAAATTTGCACCTTGGAAGGAACGTTGTTCAAATGTAGCATTACACAGTTGATGCGGTCTTCCTCTGCAGCATCTGACATTAACGACGATTGTAACTATTCAAGACTTGAGTCAAAAACAACATAGTGAAAACTAACAGCAGTGCTTTTCTGTACAGTGAGCAGTTTAGGCGGTTGAACATGTCCCCAAGAGATTGAGGCCAGAAGCCTAATGGGGTTTCAAAAAAGATTTTCAAAAAAGTTGATTTTCTTAGCTGTATTAAAAAAAAAAAAAAAAAAGAAGGG